ATCTTTTTTCCTTAAAGATTTTATTTTTAATTTATATAACCAATCCTTCATAAAAGTAGTTAAACTAAGCATCCTTAAGGAATTAAATAATTACTATAAATCGCTTAAATTTGGTGGTATATTCCGAGGCTCTTTTGGTCTATTTAAGGTTCCAAATAACTTTCTAAGCGTCCTCCTTTTTAAGTAAATTATTAAATATTAACCTTATCCTATCTTCAAAATTAAAATATTTATTAAAAATATATCGAGATTCTTCTATCTCCTCTTAAATATTATCGAGATGGTTATCTATGATAAGTTAAAGCTATTTAAAGGCGCCATCTTCTAAATGTTAGCACATAGCCAAAACCTTATGCTCGTCCTCAGTAAAACTACTTTAATAAAAGGCCAAATAAAGTTTAGCCGCGCTAAGCTAAACCTTTATATCCAAAGTACTATCATATTTAAATAATGGTAAAAGCTTAAATCCCTAACTCATTAATAACAGGACTATAAATTCTCGTCACTTTATAAATTATGGGTTAAAGTTTTTATTAAGGTTGTTATAAAGATTATCATTTGGATTATCATTCTTCTTAATCTTGAGTTTAATTAATTCCTTTTTAAAAGCATTAACTTCGTTCTTAAGCTTCTTATAATCTTCATATGTATTCCGAAGTCCATCTCTTAGAAGGTTAATTTACTCTCCTTAAGTTAAGGTCTTTTTTTTTCCTTTATTAGTAATTTCAATAATCTCCCTTACTTTTTCCTTAAAAGATTTAACTTAAGACCTTATTTTAACAAGAGCCATATTATTAATAAATCCTAATACATAATTAAAGGGTGGTACGTTAAATTTGTTATATTATCCTACTTAATTAATTTTTATTAAAAGTTAATTTTTTAGGAATTTATTTAATAAATATTCTAAAATAGATAAGTTATAATTAATTTAAGTAAGCAAAGGAATATTATCATTAGCACTTATGCTACACTTAACTAATAACAGTATTAATTAAAGAGCTATTAAAATGTAACAAACTTATACTTAAGTCCATTAGAGTATAATAATAGGGGTTTTAATTTTAAGTAAATAGTAGCAATACGGGTCAAATATTAATAAAACATTAAAAAGTGTTTATTAGGAAGGCTTAAAGTTCTTCCCCTTATATAAATTAGATATAAGACTTAAATTAATAACTAAAAAAATATAAATAAATATCTAAATATATAATAGCTTTAAATATCCTATAGACCTTCCTCCTACCTAATGTTTTAAAGGTATCATAATTTGGTTAATTTAGTTAATTTAGTTAATTTAATTAAATTAATTAAATTAATTAAATTAATCAAATCATATAAGAACTAATCTATAACCGGGGTTTATCCGTTCCCCTAGGACATCCCCGCTCCCATTGCCTAGACTAGTACGCTTTCTGATGGATGTTGGTTCATAACATTTTAACCTTATAACGCTTTAATTTAAAATCATTTAACTTATCCTATAAATTAAATAAAGAATTTATTATAATTACATTATAATTAATATAATAACTTTTTTAAATATAATTATTATAATAACTTAAATTAAAAAAGAAAAAGTAAATAAGTTTATTTAAATAATAATAATTAAAATAAAAAATATAAAATACTTTAATTAATTTAATTTATAAAATATAAAACTCGTAGCTTTTTTGTTAATTAAAACAAATATAATACTTTGTAAATAATTTAAATACGCGAGTTAACATTTTTAATAAATGGTTAGAATTATAAATAATAAAATAAATAAGGAAAAAAAAAACTTATTAAATTAAGGTTCTTTAAGGACGAAGGACTTAGGAGAAAAAGAATAATATTATAAATTAACAAACCAAAAAGCCATTCCGTAATAAAAAGCGGAGTTCCATAATGTTAGGACCGGAAAAAACCCTTAAAATACGTAAAAGAAAGTATTAATCTGGTTAATCCGGTAAATCTTATAGGATTTAGCATTAAATCTAACAAAATTAACCAGATCCACCAGATCCTAAAATAACAATAGCCTTAAGGACAATGGGAGGCTTATAAGTATTTAAAACCATTATATATTTAATCATTCATTTACATTTTTTTAATTATTAATTTAAATCTTATATTTAACTTATATAAAAGAAAGGACTTTAAACCTTTTTAATAAACACTTTTAACATTTTATTAACATTTAACTTATATTATTACACTTTAACGGACTTAAGTGTAAATTCGTTATAATTATTATTTATGATTTTATTTTATTTAATTTATAAAAAAGCCATTTATTTTCTTATTATTTTATTATAATCTTTTATTTATTTATAAATTCTATAATTTTATTAAACTTATCCTTATTATAATATTTTAATAAATTATTACTTAAAACTTTTAATTTAAAATATCTTTAATAATTCTTTTTAATATTAAAATATTTAATTTATAATTATATTATCCTTTAATATAATATAATATTCTTTATAAATAATTTTTATTTATATTTTATCTTTTTTTAATATTAATAAATAATAAAAATTATTAAAATAAAAATTAATTTCTTAATTCTTCTTTATTATTATTAAAGTACCGCAAATAATCCTAATAATTATATTTATAAAAGTTAAATTATTAATAATAATTTTTAATATTTTAAGCAATTTAAAAAATTTAAATATTAAATGCTTTTAAAGATATTATTTTTATAACTTTAAGCTCGGATTATCTTTTTAATACTCTAAATTACCTTTAAAATACCTTATAATTCTTAAATATATAACTTATTTTATTATAATTATAATATTTAATTTTAATTATATCCTTTTTAAGTTTTTCTATTTTAATAATATTAAAACTTATTTTTTTAACTTTTTTCTTAATATAAATATAAATAAACTTCCTAATTTCTTTCTTTTAAAACTTTTTATATAATTTTTTATTATAAATAATAACTTATTTAATATATTTATTAATATATTTAAGCCTTTTTTCCTTTAAAATTTTATTTTTAACTTAAATAATTAATTTCTTATAAAAATAATTAAATTAAATATCTTTTAAAAATTAAATTATTATTATTAATTACTTAAACTTAATAATATATTTTAAAACTTTTTTAATTTATTTAAAATTTTAAATAACTTTATAAACATTTTTTTTAAATAAATTTCCAAATATTAACCACATTTTATTTTCGAAATTAATATATTTATTAAAAACGTATTTAAACTTTTCTATTTTTTTTTATATTTTATTTAAATAATTATTTATAATAAGCTAAAGCTACTTAAAAACACTTTTTTTAAAATGCTAATAAACTATTAAAACCTTATGTTTATTTTTATTAAAATTAATTTAAAAGAAAATTAAATAAAGCTTAATAATATTAAATTAAGTTTTTATATTAATAATATTATTGTACTTAAATGGTAAAAAAGGTTTAAATCCTTTATTTAATAATAGTAAAACTATAACGTCTCATTATATTAAACGTAAGTTAAAGTCCTTATTATCGTTATTATCTTACTTATTTTTAAATTTAATTAATTCTTTTTTCAAAATAGTTATTTTGTTTTCTAATATTTAATAAGCTTTATATACTTTTTAAAGTCCTTCTTTTAAAAGGTTTATTTCGTTTTCTTTAATTTAAACTTTTTTTTTCCTTTATTAGTAATTTCGGTAATTTCCTTTACTTTTTCCTTAAATAATTTTACTTAAAATTTAATTTTTATTAAAACCATATTATTAATTAATCCTAAAACGTAATTAAAAAATAATATATTAAATTTATTATATTATTTTATTTAATTAACCTTTATTAAAAATTAAATTTTAAAAAATTTATTTAATAAATATTTTAAAATAAATAAATTATAATTAATTTAAATAAATAAAAAGATATTATTATTAAAGTTAATATTTATACTATATTTAACTAATAATAATTATTAATTAAAGAATTATTAAAATATAATAATTAAAATCTTAATTTTAAATAAATAATAATAATATAAATTAAATATTAATAAACATTATAAATATTTATTAAAAAAGCTTAAAGTTTTTCCTTTTATATAAATTAAATATAAAATTTAAATTAATAATTAAAAAATATAAATAAATAATTAAATATATAATATTTTAAATATTTTATAAACCTTTTATTATATTTAAAACTATCGTTATTTTAAAATTTAATTAATTTAGTTAATCTTATTAAATTTAATGTTAAATCCTATAAAATCCACAAAATTATTTAGATTAATACTTTTCTTTATATATTCCAAGGGTTTTTCCGGTTCTAACGGCGTAAAACCCCATTTCTTATTACGGAATAATTTCTCAAGCTATTAATTCGTGACATAAACATTTTAACGTTTATTAACATTTAACTTATATTATTATTATTTACCTGAAAATTAAGCCTTTAATTATTACACTTTAACAAACTTAAATATAAGTTCGTTACATTTTTTTTAAAAAAGAAAACGAAAAATAATTTTTAATATATTTTTAATATATTTATTTTTAATTTTAATAATTAATATTTTATAATTATAATGTATTTAATACTTTAATATTTTAAAAAATTATAATGTATTTTAATATATATATATATTATAATTATAATATATATAAAAAAATAAAAATAATAATAATAAAATTATAAATAATTTTAATTTATTTCGTATAAATAAATATTATTTATTATTTTTATTTATTATAATATATTTACAAAATATTAATACGCTATAATTATAATATATACATATATTAAAAATTTTTTAAAATATTAATTACGTTATAAATCATTCATTAAATACGTTATAATTACAGGGCATTAAGCACTAAAATCAAAAATAAGCAAGCCAAAAGCACCTTAGAGGCTGCTTTTCGCTTTTCAAAAAAAATAAGCGGAATTATTAAAGTCTATTAGATGCGTTCGGATGTACTGTGGAGCTGCAAATAAGCCAAATTACAGTGGAGATAAGTTAAGCAATACCCCCAAACGCATTGCTAATACTTATGCTTACCCCCCATAAGTATTTCAATACTTATTGTCCCAAACAGCCTCTTAGGTACAATACATATTATGCTTCGCTTTAGCTTAACATAAAAGCTGCCGCTAATAACGTCAGCAGGAACAAATAAATGATTTCATATTCGTCACCCAAGCTTGAAGCTTTTAGAACCTCCCCCAAAACTTCAAAAAAAATTGACCTACAGGATACACGATTGAGCTGTTCTATATCGGCAAAATGTTACTCTCACGAGCTCGGATAGCTCCAAGTTATAAAACCCTATTAACATATAGATGTGTTTCTACTTTGAGCACCAATCCTTATATAGTCAGTAGTCACCAATACGAGATCCAATCTACAAATTAATTCGGTCCTGCTTATACGATTGCTTGTCAAGAAAGTTTTCCCCAATGCCTCAGCGGATAATTCGCACTTGCTCACGTATCTCGATACCAACCCACCGAAACATAGGCTAGCTATTGGCTCTACGACCGCATTGCCTCCAACGCCCGGTTCCTTCGCCGAGAATCGAGAATTTCTGTCAATTTTGACCGATGTTCTCCGCAAATATGCCGCGCAGGATCCCGGCCTTGTATCCCAAGCCCGAGCATTCGCCGGCCCGGGCGGCGCTACTCTTGGTTCGGGCGGTGCATTCTTTCCTCAACAGAAGAAGCAGCGTGGCTCAAGAGGATCAGCCGCTGGGCTAGGTGGGGGTGGTGGTGCTGGCGGGAGCGGCGCTGGAGGAGCGAGTGCCCAAGGGGGTGCTGGCGGTGCGGGAGTCGGAGGACACATCCATCTTAGCGACTTAAGAAACCCGCCCGACTACGGTCGGATTGCATGGCCGGAAGATATCCTCGGCAGCATCGAAGTCGATGGGTCTGGAAACATAATAGGTGAATTTCAGCCCAGCGGAACTTACCGTATCGTTACCAACGAGGGAATGTAAGTCCTTGGGAATCTCGAATTAGAAACACTGACTCTGACTGATTTTTAACCTAAAACACCTAGTTTGGGACTGAGCGATTTTCTGAGGACGAAGCTTGTTGAGAGGCTGAAAGAGGAGGAAGGAAAGTTGTGAGACACCGTGTCGGTGGCATTGAGACACCACAAAGCGTGGCGTATTCGACTACATATTGTACCTGTATATGATATACCTTATCTACCTGTACCTAAGGTAGTAAACTTCTGCTCTAAGTTTACTTAATGCACGTAAGATATGTGCTCGTACGTTTTGCAACGTAGGTACTCAAGATACGATTACCTTGGCTTACATGTTTCACAAGTTACCAGCCGTAAGACGGGCCCTGACAACACCTGCCAATGAAAAAGCATGTTTATGACAGGGGATGCCGCTTTCCCGGTCTACCCTATAATCTCCTAGGTACTATGCACGTAGAATTGTGACATCTTCTGTGTAGGACAGCAAGAGCAGGCTACACGACTGCATGTATAGGTCGATCTCGACATGTGAGTCTCTTGTTGATATTTTCAAGGAAATCACACCCAACAATTTAATTTATTCTTGCTACCTAGGTATTATTGTCCCATTGTTATTTCTAAATGTACCCTCTCTTCCCGGCTTCGGGTTTCGGGTTTCGTGGTCCGTTGACTTTACAAGCCGTGGCAATACAACCAACTTTCTACGGAAGCCCGGGTCTAGAATATAATACCAACAGTTGAGGTGCTGAAGCTCATACTTGTTCGTCTGTAACAAGCGGTCTACTATGTAGAATGATCGAATCGAAGAAGAAAAGCTCTAGAGGTAGAAGGCGCTGACCTCATCTGACAAGACTTAGGTTTAGTTCCTGAATTATGGTATGGTACCTTAGGTACTTGGAACCGCAACGAGGAGTTGGTGCGTTGCATGCCCTTACCGAAGGCCTTTGATGCTTGAGTCTAAAGTAGCAGGTACATGTGAGCGCAGCCGGAGTGGCAAATAAAACTAAGTATTCTTTACGTATTCTTTACTATATAACCCAAGCTAGCGGCTACACTAATAAGGCTGCGTTTGGTGCCAAGATTCAAACTCTTGCCAAGCGTGCATCGCTACCTTAAAGCTTGTACTCCACTCTCCCGTCCCCTGTTCTCTGACCCACCGGCCCCGGTCCCCTAGTTCGAGAGCCCCTCGTTCTTAGACGTTACTTTATGACGATCTCATCAACTTCGCCATCATTCACATATATCTTTTAGCCATTATCCTCGACAAGATGGCCTCTCGAGCGTTCGACGAAGAAGAACTCTCCATGTCCTTATCTCCCTCCCTCATTCGACCGAAAAACAATGGAGCTCGAGTACCTGAGATTAACGTCACACACCCAACTGCCGACGGCTCCAACGGCAGGTCGAGAGCTGGCAGCACGCTTTCCGAGCAAGCATCGCAGAACCGAGAGAAGACCAAAACCGACCAACGAATTGGCGCGTACAACATAATCAGAACATTGGGCGAAGGTTCTTTCGGGAAGGTCAAATTGGCGGTTCATCGGTCGACCGGCCAAAAGGTCGCTCTGAAGATTATCGCTCGAAAGAAGCTGATCAGTAGAGATATGGTCGGTCGCGTCGAACGCGAGATAGAATATCTACAACTTCTTCGGCATCCTCATATCATCAAGCTGTAAGTCGTTAGCGTCCGTTTGGAGCGTTATCTCCTACAACTGCAAATCATCGGATTATAATTGACCTCCAACAGATATACCGTTATCAAGACTCCCGTTGAGATTATAATGGTCTTGGAATATGCCGGCGGCGAGCTATTCGACTATATAGTTAAGCATGGACGACTGCCCGAAGATCAAGCTCGAAAGTTCTTCCAGCAAATGATATGCGCCGTCGAGTACTGCCACAGACACAAAGTAGTACATAGAGACCTGAAGCCCGAAAATTTACTTCTCGATGATAACCTCAACGTGAAGATTGCCGATTTCGGACTAAGCAACATTATGACGGATGGAAATTTCCTCAAGACAAGCTGTGGTAGTCCCAATTATGCAGCCCCAGAAGTTATTAGCGGGAAGCTGTATGCCGGACCAGAAGTCGACGTATGGAGCTGTGGTGTCATCTTATATGTCTTGCTAGTCGGCAGACTTCCCTTCGACGATGACCACATCCCAAGTTTGTTCTCAAAAATTCAGCGTGGCGTCTTTACAGTTCCTCACTGGGTACCAGCCGATGCGGCGAGCCTCATCCGAAGAATGTTGCAGACTAATCCTGTGCAACGTATTATTATCGATGACATTAGACAAGATCCTTGGTTTTTGAAGGACCTTCCCGCATATCTTGCTCCGCCCGTCGAGGAATTTTTCAACACTGGCGTTGACCCTAACAGGGCAATCAGACCAAGTGATATTGCGCCCTACGCTCCCCCTAAAGTGCAGGAGAAACTTCACGAGGAGGTGACGGAGAAGATCAGTAAAACGATGGGCTATGGAAAACGGGATGTTCAAGAAGCCCTTGAAGCCGATGAGCCTTCTGCCATTAAGGATGCGTACATGATCGTCCGTGAGAACAAGCTCATGCAAGTAAATCGTAAGTTATCAACTTTTCTTATAAACGCCGAGACCTTGATTATGGTTGGAAGCTATGTAATAAATAGTTATTTTATGTTCTTATTGTTATTTTTTCATGCGTTTATTTCTACTCGTTCCGTCACAAGTCTTGAATGCCACTGACGTATTGTAGCTGCTTACGGAATGGGTGCCGATAACCCCTACTTTGCAACTTCTCCTCCCACTACTGATGCCGAGGAGCAAATGCGTAGTGTCTCGGTGGCCATGGGCAATTCCGCTTTGGACAGTCAGCGGGATTCTCAATCGGAATATCCAAACGAGTCGCAGGCCAGCCCTCTAGCCGACTCTGCTCGTTCCACCAGCTCAACGATTACCAGCTCTTCTCCTCGCGGATACGTAAGCCATGTCGGAATATTACCGACAAGCCTCCCTTCGCTGCACAAGAAGTACCTCGAGCGTCAAAATGCTGGAATTGATGAGCCTTTGGATGTTCAACCGGTTCCCGATGTTCCTCTTCAGCCCAGAACGCCTGCTGAGCAACAAGAAGCAGCCCGCCGCCTTAAGCCTCACTCGAAGAGTGCTATGAGACTCGACGATACAGCTCACCCGCAAACAATGACTCCAGTCGCGCCTAAAAGGCCCAAGCAAGTCCGATGGCAGTTTGGCATAAGATCTCGAAACGCTCCTTTTGAAGCCTTGCTATGTATCTACAAATCTCTATCGAAGCTTGGTGCCACTTGGGTTGTAGACGAGGACTATGAGAAGGTGCACAGTTCAGAATCGTAAGTATTATCAGTGTCGATATCCCCAATTTTACCAAAATTGATGACCGTGTTAGGGACCCTTATGCCACCCCGACGCCAAACGAAGGAAAGGAGTATAACCCGTATGAAAATTTGTCCCCTGACGCTATTGACTTGGAGACGTTTGACCCCATCAAATACTACAAGCTCCCTGCCGATCCTTGGCACATAGTCTGCCGATGGAAAAAGGATGGTAAGCTGTTCCTTCGAATCGAACCATTCTAGTTCGAAGCTAACATTCTCGTAGACATTCGGAAGACATCAGTTGCTTCCGGCCACGCAACTTCTGACTCGGTCTCTGATGACAACACTTATATCTATTCCGTTATGGACAAACGTAAGCAAGACTTCGTTTGGATGCGAATGGAAATCCAAATTTATGAGATGGACCCAAAAGACAAAGTCTATCTCGTAGACTTCAAATGCACAGGCTATGAACGTCTTGACGGAACTTTACTAGAGGAGAAGGCTGTTATGAGCCCCTTCCCCTTTCTCGATATGGCAGCCAAGTTGATCATGCAGTTGGCGGAGGCTGATTAGAGCTACCCTCCCAAAGAAATGTTTGATCCCTTAGTTGAGTTTGCCGATTTACAACCTCCGTCACCACATGTGCAGGGTTTGATTATCTTCGATGATACTTCCTAAAAAAGTCCGCCGATTTCGCACGATATTGATGAAGTGCTTGGTCATAGGATGCGACAAAGGGTCTAAGCTAATTTGGACACCAAGTTTTCTTTACGAATTGTTCCATTATTTTTTTTCCTTTGGCATTCGACCAGCGTCAGCCGAGCCTACGAATGCCCTTTTAGACATACTGAACACTGGAGAGCCCGATAGCTTTGCGCCGGACCAAAGAAAAAAAAAAAGAATCTTCGGCTTATGAAGGAAAGCCAATATGACGGTATATTTCGAGAGGATCAGAAAAAAAAAAGGGAATGTACACAACGGAAACAAGGGAAAGTATCTGTTGGAGTTTATTGAATGAAACGTACCATGGAAACGAATGGAGTTTGTTATACCCCCGAAAGACGGAACGCGAGGATTTTTTTTTTCGTGGTAAAGGGAGAGAAGGAAATAAAATACGCGTGACGGTTTTCTAGTTCGAGTTCAACCAGTCTCACTGTAGCTTGAATCAAGCCTTGGTGTTTTTTCTCCATGGTAGAAATGTTGCGGTTTCGCTGCTTCGTTTTATATTTAAAAATTGTACGATAGGTATTTGATTTGTTGGTGATTTGTAAATGGCAGGCAATATAGGTTAGGTAGATAACCCACTACGAGGGCAGAAATTATCCGATTAAACATTCGGTGTTGTATGGCACTTGTAAGTAATATCATCGTTGCTGTATATTGAGGAATGATACGGTGTTGGGATTAGATCTGTTTATCTACATACCTACATGATGATATTTCCTCTGCGCTAGAACCTGTCTACCTTGTACCTTATATCAGGTAGATATCATGGACTACCTTAAGTGGCTGTATTAATCTTATCCTACCACCTCTGAGGCCCGAAGTCCATGTACAAGCTGCCCTTAGCATCTGCCACAGCGACGTCCTCCCACCCTTCTCTCACGTGATTCACGCGCCGTTCCGTAAGCTCGTACTCGGGTGGGAGGTCGATCTCGACGTCGTCATCGTCGTCGTCGGCAAGTAGCATGTCGACGACCGCCTTCGCCGATAGCACAGCGTTCGGCATCCCGTGCCCCGTGTACCCCGCGCACAACCAGAGCCCCGAGCCGCCGCCTAGACTAGCGGGCACGCCACCCACCCAGGGGTGCGAATCCCGCGTGTATCCCATGATGCCGCTCCACTCGAAAGTCGGCTCCAGGTCGAGCTTTCGGAGGGAGACCTTTCCCCCGGAAAATTGCGTATGGTGCAGAGATAAATCGATGGCGTTGGATAGCTCCCCGCGCAGATACCATGACACGGACTCGTCGATGCCGCTGTCGTCCCACACCCCGATACCTCGGCCGGCGGCGTGCTGTCTGCCGCCGCCGAAGATGAGCTCTGCGGCGGGAGGGGGCCGCTGGACTAGGTAGTCGTCGCGAGAATAGGGGTCGACAGGCTCCCCAACTACGTAGTACGTGTGTCCGATATCCAGGGGCGGGTCCGCCGGATCGGTGGGTGTTTCGGGGGGCTTGAGAGCGGAGATTTGGCCCCGGGTGGGGACTAGCAGGTCGCTGAACTGCGGGAGGAGATGGGATGTGTATCCGTTGGTTGCGAGGAGGACTTGGGAGGTGACTATTGTGCCGCGTGGGGTGTGGACTGTCCATATGGAGTTGTGCTTGCGGGTTTTACTGTTGCCGGGACTGCTGAGATTGGCTGACGTTTCCGCGCGTGAGAGTCCTGTAACGGGCGTGTTGGTCTGCAGGTTGAACGAACCCTTGGAGCCTCCTTCATTAGCTGCGAGTAGGCGCTCTAGCAAGAATGCGACGAGCTTATACGGCCATAGGCTCGCGGCGTTCCATTGCACTATAGCGCCCTCCGCATGAGGTATTCTCAAGCCGCCAAGCGTAAGCTCCCGCCGCTCGCCCTCGAGAAGGTAGGCTGGGCTTCCGGATAGATCACCCTCGCCCTGTTTACCTTTCGTCACGACCGCTACATTGGCAGCTAGGTCTGGGTAGTCTTCCGTAAGATTATCGACTATATGGCGACAAGTCTCAAATAACTCTTTCGAGTAGAAGGTGTGTACGCCACTCGTCGACCGCCAGTCACATGGAATCGAGAACTCCTCAACTAACCCTTTGAGATATAGGAAGTTGCGCAGCTCAAATGAGGCGATGTGGGGGTTTGAGGAGTATATTGCGGGTTGGCAATGACCCCCGTTCTAGATGTATAGTAGTTAGTAGGGAATATACGGAGATATAGGATGACATAGAGTAGTATTGTGTAGGTAGTTAAATGACCATCTTCAAATGGGCTGGTTATGATAATGAGACATGAGTATCACACATAAGTATTATCGGAAGCAGTACAGTCTTATCGTGGAAAAGGACAAGATATAACGGGGAGGGGTTGAAGTCGGGTTGAGCTGAGTTGAGTCGAGGCTTTAAATAGGGCTTGTGACCCTGAGTTCGACTTCATACAACCCACATCCAAGCTCAACGCGGAAGGAATCTCTCTGTTCTTACTCACCCTTCCAGTAGCTCCCGAACAAGCCTCTCTCGCCTCCACCATGACAACGTTCAGATCAGGCTGCTTCTCCTTCAAGAAATGAGCGGCGAAACTCCCCGTGATGCCGCTTCCTACGATAACCACATCAGCGGAGCGGGGCAGCTCCTTTGTCGTTCTGTGACCTAGCAATTTGCTGGAAGGTTCCTTATGCCAATACGATTTCGTCGGGTTATCAACAGGCAGGCCTGACTGGCCTTCGAGGAGCTGAGCTTGCGCCATACTGATATTGGTTGACTTCAAGGTAGCCTCTTCATCAACCTTGGTAAGGTACCTAGGTAGGAGGTAGTTAATTGAAATTTAAGTATGAGCTGGACATGTAATGTTTGGAGCTATAGTATATATGTAAGGTGCAAACATCTATAAAAGTGAATCCATTAGCAAAACTACGATGTAAACCTAACTACCTGCTGCACGTTTTCAACCAACCAAACATCAATGCACTTAAAACATGTACAGTACGAAGACAGTATGATTACGTTCTTACTACGGTATGTTCAACGATCAGAAATGATCCGCCAATCAAGCCACTGCTGCTGCATGGAATATAGTATACCCTTCAAGTATTGGAAATTTAATGTAGACACGTATATCAAACAGGACTGCCAAACTGAACCGTATTGAATCCCATAGGTACACGTGAATGCCCATCGCCATTTTCTTGCCTAGTTCCTAAACTATGCTAATAAAAGTACTTCACAATACGATATGGCGCTGATGAAAAATAGAGCTCGCGCGAAAATATGCCCTTGGCAAGGTAATGGAAGCCATTCTGGCGGAACAAGAGACACCGCTTAACCCATCTTCTTTCTCTTGCCAACTTGGGCCGAGAAACCTGTCTTGATAGCAGTGACGGACCGGCGGGATCCGCATGAGTTGCACGTGATGAAGTAGAGTCGGTTCTCTCCCTTGCTAAGTTCTGTGTCGGGAGATCGACAGGTCTTGCAGGTAACGTACTCAACTATAGCATCGTTAGCAATGTCACTAATAACTGAAGTAATGACAACATAGTAGCATGGGGGGGATGTGGCCTACTGATGTATTTTCGTAGAACGTTCTCAATTTGCTTCTGTTGGAATCGACCCTTGATAACCAATCGTCTGCTACCGTCGACGGAACCGGTTGTACCCAGCTCGGCAAAAAGGTAGGCGGTGACGTGTTCCTCGCTTCGTTTCATCCGCTTGGTGATCTCCTGAATGTTGGCGAAGATGGTCTTCTTGTTACCTTCGCGCAAACACTGGGGAGGTGGGATCTTGTAGCTTCGTGTGCCGCTGGACGCGTGGTCCGGGTTCTTCTGAGCCAGGAGGCTGAAGAAGCGGCTCAGTAGCAGATTGTAGCTAATCGGTTTAGTCTCGTCGTGGCTCCAGATACCAGTACCCTTCTCCATATCTCCACTTTGTTCTTCGCCCTTCGCGTCAGTAGCACCCTCTGCACCATCTTTGTCGAGGTCGAGCGCGGCGATCTTGGCGGCGAATTCGTCGCCTTCGTCAGCCTTGGGTGCCTTCTTCTTCTTCTTTTTCTTGAGGGTTAGATCCAAGCCGCCGGCGTCGGCAGCTCCATCGGCAGCACCGCTTGCTTCTTCTCCTTCGGCATCTTCGGTCTTCTTAGGCTTCTTCTTCTTCTTCTTGAGAAGATCGAGACCGCCTTCTTCGGCGGGAGGGGCAGCGTCTTCGACGGCAGCTTCTCGCGCATCAGTAAAAGCCCCAAGAGCGGCGGAGAGCGGCGGCGTACGGGGTGTATGGGACATGGCAGTGTCCTTTGTTTCTTCGGAAGGCATGGTGACTATCTTGCCGTCGGGCTCAACAACTAAGGCTTCGGAATTGAAAACAACCGACTTTCGCTGTTTGCGGTCGGGAATGGAGGGACGTTGTTCCTGCTGGATAGAATTACGTTAATAAAAGGAAGTCTAAATCCGACGTAGCGAGGTGAAGAAATGAAGAAGATAAGGACACGCTAGTTGGTGCCGAAATGGGTTCCAATCCGATGACCGATGACCACTGACCGATGTTCCACTGTCAAGGCAGTTAAAAGTTGGATGTGGGAATTTGGAAGTTATTGAGTATGACTCTGAGCGGTGGCTTGTGTCTCGGAATTTTCAATGTGGCTCCGAGCGTTATGAAGTAGGTGGGGTCCACAATTGTATCCTGTGGAATTGGAGGGGCAAAAAAATTATTGGCCTTATCGGATCCCCTCGTTTTGCTGCTTGCTTAGTGGGGGGTTACCTAAGTCGAGTACATGCTGTGCACTGTGCAGGTATGGTGGAGGGAACTGGAATTGGTAGAGGATAGAACCTTGGATCCTTGGAAGGAGAGGAGTGGTGTTTGTACCCAAGCACCTGCAGTCCGAATAGAAAAGTTGCGAAAATAATGAGACAAGTCAAAAATAAAATAAAATAAAATATAAAATAAAATAAAACTTACTGTATGTGCTGTATCTGTTCCATCCATCCTTGGTGCTTTTATTTTACTTTTACTTTTATTTTTATTTTATTTTTGTGTTTGTCTTTGCCTTAATGAGTCCTTTGTTTAAAAATCCGACTGTGTCACAACAACAAAGTTGTCGCCGCCCAAGGAATAATACTGACGTTGGAGGACGACTGTTTGACGATCAAGTTTGTAATAGTGGTCCTCTCGTTATTTTAGTCCAACTTAATGATTTCTCAGAAATGGTTGGAGTTGAGGTTATTGAAGTTGGATAAATCAAAGAAGGTAAAGAAAAAATAGGAGCGTAGGAAAATCCTATGACGTTTGAGCCCTACGGTAGGAGAGAAATGTACCTATATCAAATTTGTTGCCTTCTAACTTTCTCTACCACCTCATTGGAGTACGTAGATTCCCAAGTTCGAGGGGTAAAGATTGTTAGGTTCCTAGGTACTTTTTGATTTTAGCTCAACTCCCAACCAACAGGGAGCCATGTAGCTTTTTAGGTAGGAGGTAGCTACCTGACTGCGTCGAACCTTAATCTGTGACTCAGCAATTTTACCTTCAGGTTGTTCAGGCAGTCAGGTTATCTCCAGCAATAAGTCGGGCAGCCTTGATCGGCAAGTGTTCCCATGTACCTATTTATGTATCTACCTAAATTGGCCTTGGGAAACATTAGGTACCTCATACTTATTTTAGCCTACGTCCAACTTACAACAACTTCCACAAACAGAATCGGCAACATTTAATAATACAGCAATACAGCAAATACAGCACCGCATTTTACAACCTGGACTGTGAATAGGGAAGAAGCTACCAGCTCCCAGCTCTCAGCGCATGAGATCCAAATGTATCAGATCTGCCAACAGTAGCGCGCCTAGTCCCGCCGCTTTCTCGCGAGCCTCAACCACGCATAAGCAACCCACAATCTTCTACCGTATCTTCGAATCAAACCATGTCGCTCTCCGGCTCGTTCGCTCTACCTGATACCACAGGTTCCGATAACGACGATATCGATTCCCTCCCCTCAACCTCTACAGAAAGCTTCGCAACCGATGAAGAAGATTTCGATGCGCAAAGAGAATGGGAACAGAGTTTAGAACAGCTACAGCTTCTCTTAACTATGGTTCTAGTACCCTTCGCTGGAAAATATCTAGGCCGCAAGTTTGCCTACTGGAGTATGATCTCGAGAGTTGCTCTTACTCGACGTTTTTTTTAGACTGACACTGGTTGAAATAGGTTGGGCGCGATATATGGAATGGATGCATAATGTCGAAATTAAATGGACGAATAAAGCATCATTTAAAGCTACAGGTGCAGTTGAAGCAGCGGTGACGCTTTGAGCGATCGCATTTCTAGGCTACCTAATTCCCCGGAGAGGACCTTTTTTTGCGGACATAGACCGGATAGTACCCTATTTGTTGTATATAAGGGCATTGTTGCGGATACAAGGGATCATCGGCATGTTGGCACCGTGGTGCAGGGAGAAAACAAAATACCATCTCGACAGCCCGTCTCTGATTCCGGTTAGGTCCCGTATTGCTGTTAGGCTTTGATGATTCTCATCTAAGATGGCGAAATCAAAGCCTAACGGTAGCTCCAAAAACCTTTCCGGTGCCTTTGACTTAGTTGAAGATGCCTTCTTCCGGGTTTATAGCGCGCCACGATGACAGGAAAATAAGTTCCCCTCGTCTAATTGGCGAACTTGCTAGATCGGTCTGCCCTGTTAAGAAGAGCCATAGGTAATTGCGACTAGCCGGATGCCCAATGATAACGAAGTAAGCCTTCTTATTTCAATTCCAGCCCATGCCTTACTACCCATAGAACTACTCTAAATGGTTAAAGCCCCGCCGTCCTCGTAGTAAACATCTTTGATTATCCGGCTCGAATTTCTCAATATTACAGATTCGGCAGATGTGTTGTTCCCAACTTAGACATACCCAATATGAGTGTTGGTTATTATTAGAACTGACATTTGATCTCCTTTACCAGCACTTCAGCCGCAAATGCTCTATACAAAATACCCAGATATCCATGAGTTACGGTTAGAATTCGATTCAATGGGTTACAATGTCTACGGATCTATTGCCAAGCCAACCCTTCTCATTGGTCTGTGTATAATAAAATGCCGGCCTGTATGTGAGCTTAGGGTAACGAGCATACCCTCGTGGGCAACGTTGAATTCTTGGCGCCATACCGACTACTTGAGAATACTGGACAAATTACGACCAGACACCAAGTAGGTGTTCGTGTACTAACAGTGAAATCCCACGTGTACTGCTTCTTCAGAAAAAAAAAAGAAAAAAAAAACGACATGAAGAAGAATTCTGGTTTGCTCTCTTTCCTTTTTCCTCTCTTTTTTTTTTTTTGGTGAGCTTGGAGCTCGTTTGAAAACACTATTCATCAACCTTTGCGAGTCTATTGTTCAAACACAATCAAGTTCTTCGTTCGCAAGAGACACCATTTAAAGTCGCTGAATATCTCTGCGCATTATTTGCAGCTATTCAGAAAACTACCTAAAGCATCCACGAAGCAACGTCCGCACAATAGTCTTGTGACATCAGGTAGAAGACAAACTGATATTCGCATCATTTACGTTGAGAATTTTCAACATGGCCCAGATTAACTTCCCTAATAACGACCTATACAAGGTCCTCGGCGTTGACAGTGACGCTAGCCCAGAGACCATCAGGAAGGCGTACCGGGAACTTGCAAAAAGGGTCCACCCAGACAAAGCAGAAGGCGGAAATACTCCAGAGAACAACGCACGATTTCAACAGGTTTCGGAGGCGTGGGAGATTCTCCGAGACGAGGTTCTGAGACGTGAGTACGATACTCATCGTGGAAGCGCCGAGGATCTTGGTCATGACAGAAATATAGGCTCCAAGCGTCGTCGGAAGAGACCCACCGGTAAGGACGAACGGAGCAGATATCGTCGAGACAGGTCTCCTAATAAGCGTTCAGGCAGCTACGAAGCGAAGCCTAATACTCGCGGAAAGCCTTATTTTGAAAAATGGGGGCATGATTCCTCCAGCGATTCTGATAGCCACCGCGGTTCTAGGGCGACTGAAGCCGAACCAAAGTCCTACACATATACCTCACCCTCATATGGCAAGCCGTCCTTCGAGCGGTCCAGTACAACATCAGATGCACAAGCAGCTTCCGACACATCCTTCGGCAACCAATATGAGGGTTACGATCCAAGCGGCCCGCCGCATCGCGCCGACAGCCTTGCGGACCGTTTAACTGCTATGCATGTGAGAATTGACATGAGGATGCTTAGCAGTAATCTCGACGCCATGAGCAGGGAATTTCAGTTTCTCGAGAGAGGTTTTCATACGACGCCGTTCGGCACCTCGGAGCATGAGCAACGCCGTTGGGCCAAACTTTACAATGACGCTACCAATGCTCTTAAAATCGTCGATGATATGTATGATGATCTGGATCAGTGGGTGGAAGATATCGAATACTCGAGAAAGGTATCGCGACCGCCAGCCTGTCACTTACCGGCACAATTTGCGTATATCTCCGCAATTACGACCTTGATGAAGTACGCCGCTACGGCATGTGTCACCATCCAAGGCATGATTCTGACCTGTCCTCATGACCCGCCACAGCAGTACTTTGACGACCTCGAGGAACGGATGAGGATTCTGATAGGGGCTTGTGGGAAGCAGAAATGAAAACAGAAGCAAAAATAAGCTACACTGGAATGCTTTAATGGAGGCCTAGCTGGAGACGAGCTGGAGGAATTATATACGTACTAAAAAGAACAATATCCCAACATGTTCATTGGGACAGCGCTGAATTTTGTAGAACCGTATGCCCCAATTTGGACCAAACATAATACACATATAAGTATGTTTTTTTTGTTCGATGAAACAGCTCTTAGATAGAATTTTATTGAAGATCACAGTGACTATTATTGGAAATACCTTGAAGCACGTTGTTTCAATAAATAAATATATAGTGAACAGAGTCTGCTAAATAAAATATAAAAATCTCCGTTTCAACTGTACATATTTACTAGTTTGACAATAGACGCGTAGAAGAGGTAAATAGGTCGTATACCTGGTTTGTGACATGATTAGATGAGGGATTGTTTAGAAGAATAACCTATAGGGGTTAACAGATGCAAGTTGCATATATTTTATCAAATAGAATACCTGATCCAAGGCCCATACCATATCGCGATCGTCGTTTTTAAAACATGCACTTGCTTGATACCGGCGTTGTTTCATCCAGCCAAGTACCTAACCTAGTGTAAGTTCAGTTTAAACCTGGCCTGCCGGTAGTGGCCGACCGAGAATGACGGCATGAACCCACCCTGATGCAGTAGTCCGAAAGCTAACGGCAAACGAGCAGCAACATATACATAGTACAAAGAGAAAAAATAATAATAAAATAAAGAAAAGGAGAAGAAGAACAAGAAGAAGAAGACCAATTCGAAGCTGGAGCGTTTTGCATTGGTTTAAGTTGGTAGATTATTCAATACTTGATTTGATAGATAGGAATTACGATCCTCGCTTAGGAAGCGTTGGTAGAATGTTTAATTTCGGATACGAATCCTCACGTATACCTATCACGAGCTTTATGTTCCTTGAGAAGTACATAGTATATAGTGTGATATAGGTAACAATTGAAGTTGACAGGTGACAAAATGCCAATGCTATAGACACACCACTACCTCGTACCTCGTACCTCTCTAGCACCTCTTAAGGTTCCATCCCCATTCTCCTCCGGGCGTCCATTTAAGAAAGTGGGCCACACAAAACAGGTTGGATCCTTCCCGGAAGTAGATCAGCATTGGCGGGCTTGGTAGTGACGTCGACCAATCAAGTCAAGATAAATTCTTCCTCTCACTACCTTAGGTATGTACCTCCTACCTTATATGTATTTTATGTATTTACCACTTCGTGGTTTTGCTAGGCCCTTCAATACTCTCTCACCTCACTTTAGTTAACTCTCATTTCATGTACCGTTGCGAATTTCGTTTATATTAATACGTTATATCAGGGCTGTATGGTCTAAACATTTTCATAGGCTTCATAGATATCCGTAATGTCTGATATATTTTTTTTATATTTCTCTCTGTCAAGAGTAGTAACTTACACAACGTCAGCCACTAATTGCATAGCCTTCTCGTCACGTCTCGGCTTAAGACCCCAAGAGATAGGTTTATGCATGCATACGCGTGCTTAGAGTGCCACTTAGCTTCGCGTTTGACGGCAGCTACATACCTACATGTAGGTAGTAGTAGGTACATTCGTAACTATGCCACGATCCAGTGGCTACCATCGTATTGCGAGATCCTTGATGTTGCGTACACGCCCTCCTTTTCCCCCTTTTGTACAGCCAAGTACAACCAAGAACCAAGCAGTCAAGGTGGCTGCTCAACGCCTTGCTTCGCTGCACCCCCCCTCCCTTTTCCTTGTTCTTGATTTCTGGGCCAAGGAAACAACTTCTTAAACTCGTTCCACTCCTTTTCTCCTTCCACATCCATATTTTTAGCCCTTCACTTGTTGTTTTACTAACATCCTGACTCTATCCTCTTCTTTGGACAACTCATTCGTTATTGTTGTCGTCTTGTCTTTCAGATCAATCGTTTCCATAGCTCGCGCTCGTCATCTTGGATCTGCTGCTGGTTTCCTTGAACATCCCTCACTCGTTTGGGATTGTGATGTGCTACGTGTTTTCATCCATTTTTGACGAAACACCCTATTAAAGCCAGAGCAAAACAACAATTGAACGTTTGAAATAGCAACGATATCATAATGCGCTCGTTTGCCCTCGCGTCCGCTCTGGTAGCGGCGAACATGGTCCATGCAGGACCTACTCCTACAGAACCAGAGTTGCCTAGGCGCGCTGATTCTCTACCTACGGTGACCGCGTCCGGGAATGGTATGCTACCACTTTTTAGGCAATGTCCAAAAACTAATGGATAACAGCTTTCTGGGCCGGCGATAAACGATTCTATCTTCGAGGCATTGACTACCAACCTGGTGGTTCTTCTGACAATATTGATCCTCTTGCCGACACGGACCTTTGTAAGAGGGATATCGCTAAGTTCAAGGATCTTGGCGTGAACACAGTTCGTGTATACTCTGTCGACAATTCGGCCGATCACTCCGAGTGCATGAAAGCCTTGAGTGATGCGGGGATCTACCTGGTCCTCGATGTCAACAACCCGCAGTATTCCATAAACCGAGACAAGCCAGGACAGTCGTATAACGATGTTTACCTCCAGAGCGTTTTTGCTACCATTGACGAATTTGCCAAATACGACAATACGCTTGCTTTCTTCTCCGGCAATGAAGTCATCAACGACAAACCTGAATCCGTAAAATCAGCCCCTTACGTTAAAGCTACTACCCGTGACATGCGACAGTATATCGGCTCTCATGGCTACCGTAAAATTCCTGTCGGTTATTCAGCAGCCGATGTGAGCAACAATCGAATGCAGACCGCCCACTACTTCAACTGCGGATCCGACGATGAGCGCAGCGACTTTTTCGCCTTCGTAAGTCACTTCCAATGCCAACAGGGTTATCAGAAACTAACAAGCCACTCAAGAACGACTACTCTTGGTGTGCTCCATCCTCCTTCCAGCAGTCTGGTTGGGATCAAAAGGTGAAAAACTTCACCGGGTATGGTTTGCCTATCTTCTTGTCGGAGTGGGGTTGCATAAAGGGCACCCGTGACTTCGAGGAGTTAAGCGCATTGATGAGTGATCAGATGTCCGCTGTTTACTCAGGTGGCCTCGTGTACGAGTACAGCAGAGAAGGCAATGGATTCGGTATCGTTGAGCTCTCTGGCAACTCTGACTCGGTCAAGGATGAACCCGACTTCGACAGGCTGGCGTCGGCTTTGTCCAAGTACCCGGCACCGACCGGCGGCGGAGGTTTCACATCTACTACTACCTCGGTTGCATGCCCAACAGTCGATAGTGTTTGGGATCTTGGTGACTGGGATGCGAGTGCACTTCCCGCAATCCCTCCGGGAGCGCAGAAGGTAATATAACGCCGGTTTCACTGAATTGGAAAACAAGCTAACATGGCCTTGTCTAGTACATGACCGAGAAAGCTGGTAAGGGACCAGGCCTCAAAGGCGCTGGTTCTCAAGATGCTGAGGGTACTTCTACTGGAACTGCTTCACCTGGTTCTGGATCTGTAACTGCAACCCCATCCGGTGACAATGACAATGCCGCCGGCCGACCCGCTCCCCCGATGGACATGAGCATTTTCGCTCTTGCTGGTATTGTTGGCCTTTTCACCCTTGGCGGCACGCTGTTGCTATAGGTTGGCCACTAAGCTGTTTTTGATAATCTTTATTGAGGACCATGGTGTTTTCAGAGCTTGGGCATCTGAGGAATACGCGCGTTGAGCCTTCTGGGATCAACGACATACGTAGGCATAATTAGTATAGATCGGTGCAGAAAATCCATATACCATGGAGTAGGATCTGTACGCAGCCTTGAACGCAAGCAGCATATAGTTCGGGCAAGGGGAGACGGATTGATGGATATTATGTGTATCATTGAGCTAACCTTGCTAGAGGACCAAATCGCTGGGGCTGAGGAGAAATTACATGGATTTGCTTTGCGGAGTACGAATTAAAGGTATTAAAATGAGAGGACTTGGCTGTATGCCTATTTCGTCAACTTGGTCGGTCTCATATAATGTGCAGGTTGTAGCGAAGCCTACTTGGACTTAAGTAACCCCGCGCGTTTCCCTTCGATCTGTATTATCAACACGTCTAAATATCTACCTGTATGCATCCATCCTTATGAATACGCTATGCTAGATGCTAAATAAAGACATAAACAAGAATAGGTACCGAATAGCCAACAACATATTACGCATACCACCTGTCCTCTCCTGACTGTCCTTAAAGGCGAAGACTGTCGATTAGCTATTCTCAGGCCTCCGACCGTATATAATCTGAACTAGTGCATACGGTGATTTCCGCCTGTCGCGCAGCTCCTTACGTACGTGGCTTAGATAGAGGATAACTTGCTCATGGGTCCAGCCCAGGCCTTGCGTGAAAAGGTAGAGTAAAAAGCCTATTGAAATAAGTGATTTTTGGTAAGCTTGACCCTGTACACATGTCCAAATATCCAAATATACGCCTACACGTGTAGCAAACCCAAACATAGAAAACTGGAATACACATACCCTCCATGCCCTCCTCCATCGTAGCTTGCGCATATAGCCCTACCTCACACAAGTGCGGATCATTCGAGTTTGGCGTTAGCGGGCACTTAAACGTCTGAATAACGACATCGACGAATCCCGCGTTCCTAAATGCGCGCTCGAGCGTGCCGTCCTCGACGGCATTCATAGGCCTCGAGGGCCGCGAGTTCGCGCTACCCGGAACCCTGTTCCCGTACCTTCTCGCGCCTTCCTCAAAAAGGGGCCCCCACGCCGCGAGCGCCGACCCGTCGCCCTCGCAGATGCTCCCGTCGTCGCTGCGGATCCGCAGCGCGGGCTCGCACGTCTCGACCCAGCCGGTCCCCGGGCGCACGGCCCGGAAGGCCTCGGCGTACAGGGCGTCCCAGTCGAGGACGCCGCCGCACAGGTACCGCATGTGTACGAAGTCGAAGGTCCCCGGGGCGAAGGTCCACGGGGTCTGGTTGAAGTCGTCCATCTCGAAGCGGAGGTTCCCCGGGACCCAGGAGGGTTGCGTGGGCGATATGTCGGTGCCGATTACTTCGCATTTGGGGAAGATGTCTGCGAAGTCGCTACGAAGGGGAGGGGGAGGGAAAAGGTTAAAGGTTAGTTAGAATCTTTGACGGGGGGGTTGGCAGGTAAACGGGGAGGAACTAGAGGAGGGGAGAAGGAGATAGTGGAGGGGAAGGTTAGAATTTACATTGCCCATATTCCTGTTTCGGGTCAACCATTTGTTAGTATTTCGATAGAAGCTGCCAAGAGAAAGTGGTAGAGAAACCTACCTGTTCCGCATCCGATATCTAGGACTTTTCTAGGGTCGTCGCCAATAGGAGCTAGAAAGATCTTGCCGTTTAGTAGTAATGTGAGCGTATGGTGACTAGGTAGGTATTTACACGCGTTAGATCCCTAAGCCTTACGAGTTCGAGGGGTTTTAACTAACGTTAGATCCATAGAGTTTGCTTGTCTCGCATCGTTAGGTGTCCTGACTAAGTCAATTTAAAGTGTTATTGTGGAACAACGCGATGGGGGATCGTTATACCAATAGTCGGCGTCGCCCCAACTCTTACTGTGATACGTTCGCCCGTGGATTGTGCGGTATTCTAATATACTACTCGATAACGAAGCGGTTGAACTCGAGCTATGTTACAGAGCTTTGTATAAGATTATATTATTATCGTCGCCGTGGGGCTTTTACTTGTTGTTGTTGACTTACTCGTCCTCGCCCAGCGACGAGTCTCTATCATCATCGTAGTCACTATCCTGAAATTCCCAAGTTAATAAACCCACGGCCGACATAATAACAGATATACGCTTCCTAGAGATTCGGATGGGTTCGTGCCTGTGAGAATGTCCAGTATGAGTCGACGTCGGTAGCCGAAGAGCTGGACGATGGCGGGCCGACTAGATTCGGAACGGGCTCGGGTGAGGTGGTTTCGGCTGCCCGTTGTCTATCGGCTGCTGCCGATGGACGCGATGTCATATCGCCTAAGGTACCTAGATGAACCAGTCGGGACGTAGGCCTGTGGCTAGGACGGAGAGCTATATATATATCCCTATGAGGTAATCATTAAAAGTTGAAGATTGAAACGGGAAAGTTGTAAATATTCTGGAGGTCGATCAACAATTAAGAGTTAGAGTATGGGTCGCTTCTTCTGACTACTCGGCAGCTCAATTGCCTAGCTAAGTAGGCCTGTCTAAATAGTGAAGTCCCCTTTCCTAGGGTATACCCTTTTGGGAGTGTATAGGCAGGGATATATACGGTATACAGACAGAAGAGGGATCTACCGTGTCGTCGCGTTCTCGCTAGGACTGCCAGGGTAGGTCGAGACGACATGAGAGTTGAAGGGCTAGAAAGGTTCATATGCCTTCGAGCGATGCATACATAGTACACGGCGGCATATGGATTGAGACGTGGTATGCTCTCATCCAATCCGGGATTTGTCCCTAGCCCCAGCCCCATGCTGTAGATCATCGGTCTGTCAACCCTTCTCGACGAAAAGAACCCTTCGAGTTATGCCTACCCTAATTAAGAGACCAAGGCCTTCATCCATGTTTTAATACCGTAGGGTATCATCGCCAAGCATGGATGCGTATTTTTGATGGAATTTCCCGAAAGCGATCGATCCTAGACGTCTGTGGACTAGGTAACAATATCAGACAGGGCCAGGCCTTAGTGGAGTTCGCAGGGTATTCTGGCATACACTAGAAGGATCCTGAAAGTTGGTTATTTATATTGAATATCAATAATCTCTTCTTATAGCCGCGTACTATATGATTCTATTCAAAATTAGTAAGTCGATGGTTTTAACTTGGGCGATCTAGTAGCGATCGTAGCACGATAGACTGATCTTGTGATGAGACAGTTAGTCTAGCATATGCATTTTTCTCGTGGTTCATGCTAACCTGGTACCGATGTTGACAATTTAAGAAGCAGCCCCATACGTTCACATGCAATGTAACGGTTCCCCGGTTCGCACCCTAGGTGCAGTTTCAACCTTGATTGTAAAATTACCTGGTTCGTTAGAATTGCTGTTCTGACGTAGGGTAAGATTGTGTAGCACCAAGGATGTAGAGATCTGAGGCAAATTAAGAGCCTTGTCTGGTAGGTAAGTAAAGAATCCCCAAGGTTGATGGAAATCTCGTGGAACCATACGTGCCATGATGGTGGGAGCGTCAAATCCCGGTCAGATATAACTCTTAAACAGCCCAAAAGGTATTTCATGAAGAGATTTCAACGCCTTATTGCCTAAAGCAATATCTTCTCAATACTAACACAGAGCTTTGTCTCCTCTAAGTATCGTTGTCCATAAGCCAGAGGGTTTTCTGACTTCTGTATGGCTCTAATAGCCGTCTTTTAGGTGTACCTACTTGTAGACAAGGCGGGATGCTCAGAAAATAGTCAATATGTCATCGATCAAATCGACGGGAGCAACGAGGACATAGAAAAATATGAGGTCGCCGTTAAAATAGTGATGCGCTGCAGTTATCCACATACCCTCGATGTTAGGGATACTGTTATAAGGATGAAGAGGGAATTGGCTGACGATTGTATGTAGGAAGCTGTGGAGTTGTATATATATATATTTATAAAACCCTTCTAAACCAATCATAGGATACTTTTTAAGGGAACATCAGGAACACTACTGCTTAGTACGTTCTAAATGCTGGTTTATATTAATATGCCCTAATAAAACCTCGACATCAATATCACGGGTGGACATGCTATGACTTCGAGCTGGAATTCAGTAATATGTCAATGTTCCTAAATGTATTCACACTATCTCAATCGTAATAGCTTTTTAACTAGACTCAACTACACACAAGCCTATTCCTCGGCCGGTTCAAACAACGCTAACTGACTTATACCAATGACTCCAATACCAGGTAGATAAGAATGGACGCTGATACACTATGCCACTGCGGTAGCTGCCTCAGCAGCCAGAGCCTCCCTTCGGCTCTTGCTCTGCGGGTCAAAGTAAGGCTTCTCGCCCAAGCTCACCGCGCGGGAACCCGTGCGCTCTCCGAGCCCCTGGTTTAGGTAATCCGGCGTGGCGGCGTGGTAAACGCTGCGGTTGTCCCAGATAGCCAAGTCGTTGGGCTGCTGCCAGCGGAAGCGGACCTGGAGGTCGTGGTTCTCGACGATAAGCTGGACGAACCAGTCCAGAAAGCCGCGAGACTCGGCCTCGGATAGCCCGTGGATGTGCTTGACGTGGTGGCCCACGGCGAACACGCTCTTCCACCCTGTGACGGGGTTCGTGCGCACGACCGGGTGCACGGCTTCTAGGACCTCGCCTACGTTCTCCGGCGCACCGCGCGGCGCGGAGTAGATCTTGAAGTTGTTACGCTCTGCGGCCTCGTTGAACGCCGGCTGTGCGTAGTACGCTGTCAATGTGTCTAGGAAGCCCCGGAGTGGCTTGGAGATGCGGTCGTAAAGCTCGTAGCCGGAGGCCCATAGGGTGTCTGCTCATCGGGTTAGTTTCAAGCCTCTCCTAACCCTATTCGCATCTACCGAGAAGGAGAGGTTAAATACATACCACCTCCGGTTTTGGGTAGCTCAGTGAGCCTCAGCAGCGCGTAGTCGCTAGGGATAGGCTCGAATGTGATATCCGAGTGCCATTGGTTCTTCTGCGTCTGCTTCTTCTCGGCCCAGATGTCCTTCTTAGAGTAGAGACTCTTGGCCTGTTGAGACGAGATGGTGCTAATCTCGTCATCGTTACCACCGTGCTCGCGTCCGGAGTTTATCACGGGGTGGATGTGTAACTTGGAGGTGGCCGGCTTACCGGATAGTTCACCGAGCCGCTGAACTAGCTCCTTCTGCAAGTCGTTGTTGATGTTGTCCTGCTTGCGGAAAAATACCACACCGCGTTGTGATACTGAAGTAGACTTGTTAGTCTAAAGTAATTCGTGGAGTACATTCCTTTCTCATACTCGTAATAGCTAGGTCGCGTAGAAGCTCGTCTGAGTTAGGAGCTCGTAGCCATTCGGCCAAGTCTACGTCTATAAACTCCCTTCCAATCACCGGTGTGACATCAAACTGCGCGAATTGGTAAAGAGCACCACTTAGCTTTAAGGGCTCTCTGTGGTTCGTCTCAAGCTTCGGCTGTTCGTCCTCTAAATCTGTCTCACCAACAGCCAGAGAACTCTCCAACTTTGGGCTGTCTTGCGTTTCCTTCTGGGTATCAGGAATAACCTTTTGCTTAATATTCTCAGCAATTGGAGCAACGGCTTCGGTAGCTGATGGCGACATTTTATGGTATACAAGCGATGAGATGTATGTGAGGATAAATCGTCAAGTTCGCACAACAGAGTATGTGTCAATAAAGGTGGAATCTTCACTACTAGCTATTATACAGGGCACTCAATGTAGGTACTTATATAGTGTATATAAGTATTGGTGATCTGCCGAGTCCGGACAGTTAGTAAATGGCGTAAGCGAACCGATTCTAACGCCATATGTCTGGACGCCACCCCTTAGGTCGAGGTTGATTGGGGATTGGATAACATTATCGATCGGATAAGTGACCTGCATGCAAGATAGTATTAAGATGTCGTGACCATTGAGGCGCATCTCGAATGCGCATTGCTGGAGTTAATGCCGCTTTATGTGGGGGATTGTGGCATATACAGCAGACCTGACGTGCTCGATAGCCGTCCGTTCAACAAATTACATTTGGTTTAGAACGACAACCGATATCCTAAATCCCCTCAACTCCAAATGTTAAATCTGAACGGGTAATCGTGGCTGTGTATATATTGTATCATTTCCGGGGTTGACGTCTGATGATTTGTTAAGTCGCTATATTTAGATCATTATAGCGAAATCCATTCAACGTATTTGTTAGGCTTCATACCTTCTGCATCCTCCGAGATAGGACATTTCAGCGGCTATACATCTGAAATGAGACTCGGAAAGCATCTATCTAAGACTGAGGGGATTTTATAGATGTAGACACTAATCTTTTGTAATAATGTTATGTCATAGGGCGTTAAGACATTTATTATCTATAAAGCCAATATTAAACTACCTTAGGTACTTATCCACCATTTCCCTCCTGAATTATCCTATATCTTGTCAATGGTTTATCTAGGTACCTAGTGTATAATGTGTAGGAAGGTCAAGATTTTACGATATTATAACCGTTAAGCTACCTGGGCAGGTATCTATCATTCTACTATCTAGATCATATTTGATAGGTAACTTAGGTACCTACCTAAGAGGTATATATGGACGGCCCTACTTAAGATCAGCTTAGCTAGTGTTAATATATTATGAATTATAAGTATATTCTGCTGCACTGGATCATGCTCATTTCCCACCCTATGGCAGATCTGGTACTTGGTTAGCCACTGACAGGGGAAATGGGGGTATGATAAGAATGATACTAGTCCTCTATATCTTGAAGTCGGAGATCTTCCATAGCCTCTAGGATATCTTTCCAATAGCTACATTGGCCCCCAACCCTTCAGGGGAAGAGACCTCCTCTTTGCCAATTCCTGAAAAGCTTCGATGGGATATGCGCCTAGGAGGAAGGGGACTCAATTTTTCTCCATACCGCAGGTAGAAAAGCTTCTCATTAGTCCAAGTAAGACGACCTTGTATCTCACCTCTTCCATTCCATAAGCTACAACTTTGACAAAGCCTAGGGTGCGGAGAGCTCCCGTAAGGGTCTATCTGACCGAGAGACATTCTGGGTCAGTGACTGAATCTCTAGCCTCGTTAATAAAAGGCGAGACATCAATCGTTTTGATACGGTTATCTCCAACCCCATAAAATTAGTCTAGCATTATTCCCGCATAGCTTTTATAGGAAGTCACATGTCAAAGAACGTAGGTATGCGAGCAGTGGTAAGGAATGATGGGACTAATGATTGAAAACTCGGGTGATTGGTTCAATATTTTAGGTAAAGTTGTATAACAAGTACTCAGGATGCTCTATAGGGAAGTTTGGCTAAACACCGCGCGAGACTGGTAACTGGGGGACTACTTGTCAGGCAAAGGTTCATATCCTCCATTGATGTTATTACTACCTAAACCTAATACAGAGTGAGTCTGTTAGGAGTCTTACTTGAGACTCCTTGGGAGCAAAGAGGATGTTCTGTATATAGCTTTGGCTTCAAAGCTATCTTTTAGTTAGAGTTCCTTGCGAAACAACGAAGTTGTTTTCCTCGCCTCATGCTCTGCGACCTCGACAGAGTGTCGTACATGCAGTACATCAGGTTGGACTAGTAAATCTTGGTCTTCTATCATCTTACAAGGAAGCTGGCTACCACTTATATAGCCAGTAAACCCCTGAAGAGTTGCCTACCTACATATTCAACTGATGCCAAATGGGGGGTACGGCTGATATGCCTCGGTTACTTTGTAGCGATATTTTCTTATCATCAAACAAAAAGGGTACTCTGAGTTGGTAGTCACTAGATATTAGGTCTACCTCCCTATGTATGCCCCTTACCTTCGTAGAGTTCATGGTCAATAACTAATGTATTACGGGCTAGAGGCCTATCAGTGCGTGCAACGCAGTACTTTAACACTAGTAAGTTTCGTCAGAGTTAGATTTGATAGTTATTCTTGTAATAATGCATTCTTTATTAGCTACCTGATTCAATATGAAAACGAGATACCTATTAGCATGTGCATATCTGTCAATATAATTAAGTGTTCGTTATCGTGCGATCCACCTCGCCAAGTCTTAGGAGTTTGTATTCCTTGCGATTATATAGGTAGTTAACATAATGCTTATTTACATCTACCTTTAGGTAGGTACCTAAGAGGTAGTTGTTTTACCATCTTTGGATTATAATTGAGGAGGACGGCGTAAGATAATAAATAATAAAGTAAAGATAATAATAGTTGACCTTTTCAATGTTGTATTTAGGCACAAAAAAAAAAACAATATCAACTACAAAAGGGCATATCGTTACACTTGCTGTTTGACCAACCTTGAAAGAGAAATGGACGCTATTCGGAAGTCGGGACGTCAATCGGGACGTGAATCGTTAGAATAGAAGTTTAAATTGCTAGAGGTTAGGTACCTAGGATAGGTTAATTTAGTTGCCTCTTATTCACATGATAGTTGTGTGGTAACCCCGCAATGTCACCGACGACATGACAGCTGACATGAACCTAGAAACTTTGACATCCCCGGCAGGTATTCCGCCAGGGTTGGTACTGGCTAATTCAGCTGAAATACGAGACCATAATGAACAATGACGTTGCATGTTATATATGTTGACGTTTGATTACGAACCATCAGGTGACCACGTATCCTGTATTGTTGATATTATTGACTGCAAATAGAATTGCCTCAAGCTCAAGAACCATTTACGAAAAAATATCGTAAAGTAAAAAGATTACGTTAGGTTAGGTTGGGTTAAGTACCTCTTATTATGATGGCTTTGCTACCGTAGCAATTAGATTGATAGAACATTTATATTTCGCATCTAAGGCCAATTTTAAACTTAGCTTTATTATATGGGTCAGCTACCTTAGGTACCTGGCATTTTATATGCAAAGTTTTATACCACCAGAATTTCAAATTCGTTAGCCTTTTTTCTTTTTCTTTTTTTCCTTTTTTTAGAAACGTGCCATTGACCGTAAGTAATTCCAGCTACAATTGAAGTTGATATTTACGGTAAGCAGAAACTGTTCCTATTCCACCACATACCTACACCATACGCCATCCACAAACGGCATCTTGACAAGAAAAAAAAAAAAAAAAAAAACGGTCCTCTCGCATTCGGCGTAGCGTCTCAGATACAAAGTTTGAAGGCAACTTGATTCCAAAACCCATCTTTGACTTCTACGGACCATACGGGAGTTCGCACACAAAGGTCTTATCTATACGGTGAATACGGGAAAGTTCGATTTCTTCAAATCTAGGGCTCACCCCCACAGTTCTTACGATGTAGGCGTGGATACCTGCTTCTACCGAGGAAAAGGCAGTGGGATCTGACAAATCTGGAAATGAAGAATCTGTGGCCCCCTCTAGTCAGTACAACCGTGCTGCAAAATTCCGTATCTACGAACGCTTCTTCTATCGCGGAACATAGTGCAGATCTAACGACCAGGCAAGATTTTTCAAGACATGCTCGTTAATAGACGTTTGGGGCTATTTCAACGGAGCAAATGACCCGGGTTAGAAATGACCCTATCGTTACATTGGCTTATAGTTGTTCAATTCGCTGTAGCCGAAGAAATGTTGATGCTATCCAACTTTCAGATATACCGGGCTGTTGTACTATGTAAGCGAACATAGCTTTCCAGGCTATGCCAATTGCATGGATGGCTTACATAGCCGGCAGAACCCTGATCAGCGATCAGTGACATCAGTATTTCACTTTAAGCAATGCAAGATCCCACGTCTCTCGCTGGTTGCGAGATGGCTGTACTATGTAAGTACTTTTTTCTCTTTCCATTCCTTACGCCGGAGTTAAAGGGGTAAGGGACAAGCCCTACATGATATATGATTGGGCAACTTCGTCTCGGAGTGCGGGTCCGAACGGCAGACTCCATATAATTTCACTACAACCGCTCGGACACAGATTTGATATACTTAATCCCACCTTGGTGGTGGAGACAAACATGAGTAGGTCAGTATGTATTAGCCGTAGCTAGCCAACGGTGAAGAACTTAGAATCCCCAACATCATGGCAATACTAGACCAGTACGGATAGCGTGAAGTATGCCGGGTTCACCATCCAATAGATAAATGAGCCAGACACCGGGATGATGAGGCGCAGAGGTTTACCGGCTTCTGATATAGCTGTATGTCAGTAGGAGTAAGTTCTGGGTTACGCCATCTTGCATAGACTATCTCGGTATGGCTTCCTTAAGAAGGGCAAACCGCGTATCTCACCCTGGGTCACGATCAAATGTTGTCCTTTTGTGATATTGGGTATCCAATAGATACTTATATTCGGATTTAATAGCCAAGAAATGTCAATCTCTGATCGATCTTTTCCTGCCTATGTAAATCAACGTATTTATTGTTCTATCTATCTTTTGCATTCCCAACCCTTTCCCACCAGTCTGCCTACCTCTATCGATCCTAACATCATACCGAGGAATTATCAATAACTTATGTACTTATTACCATGAACCCCTCCTACGATCCAGCCATGAATCCAGATTCGCCAGCCCCACTACGCGATAATTTATCCACCTTCTCATCTACTATTCATGATTGCGCCCCTATACTGTCTTTCCACCCGCAGCAGCTACCAATGGAATTCTTAGACGGCTCGTCGGAGTATCAGGAAATGGCCCAGGACAGCCTTGCAGATGCGGGTTATGTCGCTGGCTCCGACCTTCCTAGATATTTAACAATGCCCATAGACCTCAATTATCAACAAATTATCTCCCCTACCGAAGATCATAACAATGCAATCCAAACACCACAGCCCGAAAGGGACAGCGAGGAAAAGGACAACGAGAAGTACAACGGGGGTGATATTTTTAAGAAAGACAATAAGAAACCTGTGATGACAAACAGTCGTCGGTCGTCCGGATCGAGTAACAAATTCACTAGCGATGAGTCTGGAATCGACAAGCGAGAGCGGAACCGCATGGCAGCCTCGAAATGTCGAAAGAAACAGAAGCTAGCCAATTCCGAACTGCAGGAAAAGGCACGCATCATGAGCGAACGGCACAATTACCTGATCGCGCACAAAGCCTCCCTCGAATCGGAGACGATCAGCTTGAAGAACGAGCTATTGATGCACGGGAGCTGCGGCTGCGAGCCCATTTCCGACTACCTCATGCAGGCCGCGAGGAAGTTTGTCAAAGGACAAGAGGAAGTGCTTCAGGGGATGCAGAAGACGACGGGTGAAGAATTATGTGAGCGAACGCCTTCTTCCACCTCTCGCGAGCCTTGTATACTATGACAAGACCGGCTACGTGTAACGATGACGAATGATGACCTACGAGCTTGCAGAAAAGGATAGTGTTGCCTATGGAGAGATTGTAAATGATGTAGCATGCTAAATATTTTTTTTTCAGATACGTATTTAGCTTCCGAATCGTCTCCCATACAGCGAACAACTCCCCTATCATCCCAAACGAGCATTAGTGATAATCATTGTCATCATCACGATAAATGATCCCTCCGCGCACTACGTGTGAAGTACTGCTAACGAACTTAAGCAACTTTGCCATTCAACCGTTCACGACAATACCTCTGTTAGGGTGCACTATGAAGAATGAGTTAGCTATTACTTCTGCTAATACATATATGAGTGGGGTTTCCCTGCATATCGCGGAAGCAAACCGAAAATAGATAGAAAAAAAAAAAAAAAAAAGGAAAGCATCTGGTGTCACATACACGTTTGACCGCTCAGCGCTCTCACTACCCGCGAGGAGCACGTAGCTCGTCGCAATCTCACTAGGGTGCCCGAGCCGCTCCATTGGTGTCAAGTTCCCGAGGCCATGTCCCTTTTGGCCTTGCTCGCCGACTCCCGTCGCAACGAGAGGATACCAGACGGGCCCAGCAGACACGACGTTGATATGAATCCCCTCCTTCACCAATTGGGTTAGAAAGCCGGCCCCTTTGCTAGCCGCGTAGTCTATGCGACTAGGGGTTCCGGCATAGACATCCACCGATGCGCTGTTCATGGTTAACGCACCTTTAGATATATGGTGTAGGGCGGAGTTGGTGAGGTGGGAAAGGGGATCGACGTTAGTTCGGAATGTCGCCGACCACTGGTCGCTATCCAACATGGTAAGTAAGAAAAGTGACATGTTTTAAGAGCAGCTTACTTCGTGATATTCGTAATGTCACTATTTTCGCTCCTACTGGTTGCATTATTGACCAAGATATAGAGACCGCCTAGGTCCGTCGCGGCACGATTCACCAATGATGGACTTCTCCCTCGTTCTTCTCTACTGCGCGACCGATGCCTGAGTGCCGCTCAGGGTGGCGGATAAGGAGGCTCGGACACGCAAAAAGGAAAGCATGATCCCCCTATCCAGAACCAGAGGAAGCCCGGCCTGGAGCGAGACATGAACCCAAAGCCAGCTAAGACTCACATTCCGTCTTCGAATTCCAGTCCCAGACTAGCCAATCTATCGACCTGCCGGCAAGCTCGCAGGCAAGAAAGCCCTCATCACAGTATGCGATTCGTCAGGTGGGCGACTGTGAAGCGTCTCCTTTGCCTTGTCAATTGTTGTTGATAATAATTAATGATTTTAGGTAACGGTATTGTTCAAATCTAGCCGTTTACAATAGCGTTTACTGACGGGAACAGGACAGCCAAACGCTTCATATACTGATTTTTGCTCTTCTCACGCAGAGTATATACCCGTTTGGGGGTGGTATTCCTTCATGACGATATCATCACTACGCTCAGCATTACTGTATATTTACTGTAAAATAATCATATGAATACATCACGCTGTTGACACAAAGAACGTCTCTGCAAGCAGGTTTTGAGCTCCAACCATACCGAACCCTACGATACAGCAATTAATTGAGCTACACTGACATCATATTATTTCGCACATCTGTCCTTGTGCTTGCAATGTAATTATTCGTAATGATACCATCATAAAATGTCATGAATTGTAATTCTGAGGTCCAAGCCAAGACATTCCCGGAGCGGACTCCGCGCCTTCACGTTGGATACCAACATTACCCCTTGTGTGATAATTATCTCCTCCACCCAATTCCGACAGTTGACCGAACCATCCCCACAAAACTGGTATTTACATAGACCTACATAGTAAAAGGTCCGGTTAACCAATTGCGCCAATTACCTAACCAGAATGGCGTCAAAAAAAAGTGCCTATTCCACTACCAAACCAGTCATTTTGCTATCCGCATAACTTTACCAAATCGTCTCGTAAGCTATTAAAATGACTACTAGAATAATTATAAAATTTTGTTCTATATGGAAATAATTTTTTGAATTTAATTTGTCTTTATAATCGCTAAAAAAGGTTGGTGGAAGGAATATTGGTGTTAGGCACTTATTTTGACGGCATTCTGCTAACCTATAAATGCATATGTAGTGGTGGTCGAAGAGTGGCGACCTTTACCATTGTTTTAAGAAGTTTGGTCTTGAGTGGGTTCTGTGTGTACTTCTTTACCCAACCTCCTATGCATTAGGTACCTACACTACACGAAAAGTAATATACTGATTGGTGCGTATACTCTGGAAGACTTTATAGGAGGAATTTCACACTCGTCATCCTAAGCCAATGAGTGCTCTCATCGCAAACATCACGATGTTTTCTTTTCCTATATGACGAAAAGGATCTTGGTCTATGCGACCATGGTATTTCCCAACAAGCACAAGTAGTAGATTATGGCCGAGAATATTTCATCGAGATTCGTGAGCATCTCAGCATCAATTGGCGGGTATCCTGAGCTACCTCACAGATTTTTTTTTTTCCTGCTGCTTCCTTTCAACCCCTTTTTAGTCCCTGAGCCCTTAGTAAAGGCTACTAAAGGGGGGGGGGGGGGGGGGGGGGGGGGGGGGGGGGGGGGGGGGGGGGGGGGGGGGGGGGGGGGGGGGGGGGGGGGGGGGGGGGGGGGGGGGGGGG